TTGCAGATGTTTCCTCTTTTCTAGTCTCTGAAATATCTTGTGTAAGATACAGATGACCTATACGTTGGGTTTTCAGCAAAGAGGGGATTCCATCACTCTGATTTGAAATGTTCCCTACAGGCCTGTTTGCTAAAGGCTTGGCCCTCAATTTCATGCTACTGGGAGCTGGTGGAAACTTCAGAGTTGGAGTCTAGTGAGAGGTATGCAGGTGACTGTGGGTGGAACTGAGGGAATAATTGTACCCTGCCTCCTCTTCTCTGCTCCCTTACGGTCATGAAGTGAGTGGTTATGCTGTGGCACATGGACTTCTACCAGCATATTTTGCTTCTCCATAGGCAAAAACTGTAACCAACTAACCAATCATGAACAGGAACCTCTAAAACTGAGAAAAACGAAGCTTTTCTGCTTTGTAACTTGATTCTCAGGTAACTGTTAAAGGGACAGAAAGCTAACATAGGAATGTGACACAAGGTGAAGTTAAAGAAGTGATGGGGAACCAGATGATTTAGGGTCATATAGGGCATAGGCAGAAGTTTGGACTTTATTCAAAAGACATTTGGAAACTATTAAAGGAGTCAAGCTGCTGAACATCTTGATCTGTGTATTTGAAATATATCACTTGATGCACCATCTGGAGAATGCATATGAAGTGGTTAAGCAGAAAGACTAGCTGGGAGCTACTTATTTAGTTGAGGAAGAGAACATGGTGGTTTGGTCTAGCAGATGGTAGACAAGGTAGGGAAACAGCTTTTCTGTTGTGATATTTATTTTGTGATATACTGACAAGACTTATCAATAAATTTCACAAAAGTAAAAAAGTGGTATTATAGTTTACTAGAATAACTACTAGATTTTTGTTCATATAACTGGGTAGAAAATGTTCTACATATGTGAATAATTCTGGAAATTTGGAGGAAGACATCTGTTTTTGATCTGTTTTATTCTGAATTTTTTATTAGTATATGTTTTTAATACATAATAATTTACATGCCTTTTGGGGAATTAGTACATATGCATATAGCACCTCAATCATTTTTATTCCCCTTCTTCTCTCATGCTCTTCTCTTCCTTTATTCTTCAGAGACCCTTCCTATCTCCTTTATTTTGCTATTTAAATTATTTATATTTTGGGGTTGTCATGCAAAAGAAGTCATGCAATATTTAAAGTTCTGTGATTTATTTTACTTCTTATTATGGTTTCAAGAACATCTATTTTTCTATAAATGGCTCGTTTATCTTTCTTTATGGCTATATATGTAATACTGCACTGTGTAAATACACATTTTTTTTTGTATTGACTCCTCTGTTGATGGACATATTAGCCACTTTTTATAATTTAGTTATTGTGAATTATGCTGCAATAAGCATGAGTTTGCAGTTATCTCTGTAATATGATGTCTTTAACTCTTTTAGGAAGATCCCCAGGGATCAAGTGAAACTGTTATTTTTAGTTTTTTTGAGGAGTCACCATACTGATTTATATAGTGGTTGTATTAGTTTATACCACTACCAACAAGGTAGAAGGGTTTCTCCATCTCCACAACCTTGCAGTATTTATTTTCATTTGCTTTCCAGGCCTTTCTCTACCCACAGTGACTCAACTAGAAGACTTTGGGTCCTCTCTCCTAAAAGATGCTCTATCATAACCAGTTTGCTTTGGGTCAAGCTAGAATTGTCTTAGTCACATATAAGAGCTCATCCCAGGCTTCCATGGGATGGAAAGTTGTGTGTTCAGGCTGGACCATATCTCATATGCACCATGTCCAAGTCCCAGAAGGGAGAGACAGCCTTAAGCCAGGATAGAGTGTAAGGTCTGACACATCATAACTTGTACACAGGGAAGGGACTGTTAGTCACAGAATTCCTCTGTCCACCCCTTAAATGTACCCCACTCTTTCTCAACACTGAAATCAAAAGCAGAAACTCTTCTGCCAAGTAAAGAATAGGTAGTTGTTGAGTTTAAAAATTGTGGTGGTGTGGAGCTTAGTGTCATGTTTAGTAGATAAAAAGGACAAAGGACAACAAGAGATGATGCTAGAGTCTTGGCCTGCTGCTCAGGTAACACTGGCTTCCAGAGAGACATGGGTTAGGCTGAGAATCTTGGGGGAAAAGGCATTGAACAATATCACTGTCCAAATATTTAGTTTAATGGGCTCTACTAGTCCAAGGTAAATAACATTGATTTCCATACATTGAAAATTTTTCACAGTAAGAAATAAGAGTCTAATGCTTATGGAGAATTGAAAACAAAAACAAAAACAAAAAGCAAAAAACCCCACTCTGTCAGGCAGATTAAAAGTTAAGGCCAGGCGTGGTGGCACACACTTGCAATCCCAGCACTCAAAGGCTGAGGCAGGAAGATCGTAGCTAGTTCGAAGCTGTTATGGATTAAGAACTGGTGGTCAATTTAATGCCAGCTGGATTACATCAGCATCGCACTGAGCAAAGATGCTCCACCTCAGGAAAGTTGCCAGGATAAATAGGTGGAGAAGAAAGAAGGTGTTAAGGCATTAAGGCATTATTGCATTGAGGCCTTGTGAGTTCTATAAGTTGCTGTTTGAGCCGATGGTTCTCCTGGAGAAGCTTTGGTCCTCACATCGAGCATTGCTTCCTGGCTCTGGAGGGGAAGATGTGTGCCGCTTGGTATCAGGATGAACTCGTTATGCCAGCTGGCTTCCTGGCATGTACCCAACTGTGCTTGTTGGAGGAGGAGCTCAGGGCCTCCCTGTCACTGAGGATGGCTATGGTGCCTTTCAGGACATCCCTGGTCTTTGTTGTGAGTGTGATTTCTCGGCTCCAGCGTAGAACCCTCATCCCACTAGCACAGCTCCTCCACCCTGCTGGCATGGACTTTCTGGCTTCCACCACTGGCCTTTGGGACTTCCCAGCACAGATCCATAAAAGAGACTGGTGTGAGTCCTTCTTGTGGGCTCTGGACCTCCAGTTGGACTTGTGGGAGGCATTGTCATGAGCTCTGGGTTTTTATCTGGACCCATTGAGACATTGCTGTAGGATTTAGGCCCTTGACTAAATATTCTATGTCGTTGGTGTTGCCGATAGATTTCCTGCATTTTCTTGTGTTAACTCCCGGTGACCATTATAAAAATAATATTATAAACTCCATGTCCTGATTCTAATTGTTCTCAGTGTGCAACCCCTCACTACAACAGAGACCATGGTAAGTTCAAGGCCAACCTGGTCTTTATAGTTAGACCTTGTCTCAAAAAACCCAAAACCAAACCAAAACAACAGAAAACACAAGAACACCCTCCCTCCCTAAAAAACAACAAAAAAGTTAATTTATCAAATACAGATAGAAACTTAATTCACATTGGCAGGTTTTCACCATAAATTGCTTTATAACCATTCAATCAATCACATTGTATGTTATTGGTAATGTCTAAAAGTTAATAATAATAATATTTATAAATAAGTTTTTACAATTTTTGTATAAATCATAGAAGTGTACTAAGTAGTTCTTGTAAATATTTCAATTTCTTCACTTTTTTTCCTTTTGGTATGTTTTCTTCTTAAAAGGAAATTAAATTTGTAGGAATTCAGTAGTATAAAGAGCTAAGGAATATGCTTGATCAATCTGAAGAGTGAAGAAATACTTATAGATGTAATTTGTAAGAACAAGAGATTTACAGGAATGAAGATCAAAGTAACTACAAGTAAGCTTTTGACTTGGGATGAGCGGGTACCTTCTTATCCTGACCGGGGAGGGGTTTTCATCTTCTGAGAAGTGCACTGTGCTGATGGGAAGAGTATTAGGAGACCAGCACTGGAGACCTCCCTCATGCACTGAAGCTTACGCAGCTCCTGCCACTTTCACCCTGTAGCCAGGACCATCACACCCACTTCCTGTCTGTCTGGTGTTCAAGGCCGAATAACTCTTCTCTCCCTCATGAGGTCTTCCTAGGTACCACCAAAGCCCAAAAGCAACTCAGAAAATTTATCACTGCTATCTCTCATCTGTCATTTTTCATGTCATGCCAATCTTTTCCCAGTTTAGACTAGAATGGTTTTAAATAGTGGTTAGGTTTCAAATTATTTTCTCTGACATCATTTTATTTTGTAAGACTGTAAGGGAATTGGAAATATTTTCTGTGGTCCCCAAAACCACCATCCTCTGTGTAACAAGGACCACACCCCTGTCCTGCCTCATATCTCAGCAACCTTTCCTTTGGGAGCTTATCAGCCTTCCCCAGACACCTTCAAGGGTGTGTAGCTCAATTCCACATTGAAGAGCCTTCATTGTTAGAAAGTACTTCTTTGCACCGAACTGGAATATCTCCTTGAAATGTCTACCAATTAAATTTAAAGTTGTCCTCTGGGATTTGAAAAATTATATTTGATTCTTTTTCTGACTCAGAGTCTTTGAATGTTTTAAGATAATTAGGGAAAGTCACCAAATCTTTATTCTTGCACAGATAAAATGTTTCTTTTCCTCCTAGTGATCAGAATGGCTTTGAGCACCTTCACAGTCACTATTGCTCTGCTTCAGCTGGCCTGAGCCATTCCTTCCACACATACTCATCTTACATCCCCAGTACCAGTGTAGGATTTGAGTATGCAATGAATAGGAAGATGGGACAGAATTCTCCTGCTGATGGATCTTACATCACAGAGGGAGAGGCAGAACATAAGTAAAGGGTTGATTCTGGATGATTATGTCCTTAGCACTTGGCATTCAGAATATTCTAGATGTGTCTGTACATAGCAGTGCTGTGAGGGGCCCAGTTACTGACACCCCGCCTTTGTGTGCTCTATACTTCACCACTACATTGTCAGTGATGCAGTTTTGACTGTATTATAACTTTTTTGGAAAAACATTGGGTTTACTTTCAATTATAAACACAATCACCAAAAAACAACTATTTCTTTCCATTCAAAGAGATGTCAGTTATATCGTGTTCTTCCTATACTTAGTATTAATTCAGATCTCTCTTCTTGTGTTAGTTTGTTCTGGCTACTATAACAAAATATCACAAACTGGGTAGTCTATAAAAACCAGACATTTATTTATCGCCTTGTGAGAACTGGGAAGTCCCAAATAAAGGTGCTAGCAGATTCAGAGTCTGGCGAGGGCTTGTTGCCTTGTGATGACAGTGTTCTCACTGTAACTTCATATTGCAAAAGGGCTGAAAAAGATCCCTTAGGCTTCTTTTACAAAGAAATTAATTCCATTCACAAGGTCTCCTCACCTGTGATCAATCATGTCCCCAAAGCCTCATCTCCTTGTATCATTACTTTGGGGGTTAGGACTTCAACATGTGAATTGTGAAGAGGCCAACACTGTGACAGTTACATCCATTTAATTGGAGACTTAACATGTATCCAGCTGAATTTCATTTTACTTGTTAATCCCAGATCTCCATGGGTACCCATGCCATTATCCAATGCATTAGCTATGTCTCATAGTTTTGTGCCATTTATAAATTTGATGAGGTTGGTTACTCCCTTTAGTTCCTGAGTCCCTGTTTTCAGGCTCAGTTAGAATAGGAAAATTCTGAGAGTAAAACTCTGAATCTTCCACATGAGGTCCTCATTTTCAGGGTGTCTTTACCAGCATTCTTTATGTTAGCGTTACCAGCTTGAGTCCAATAAACTGTTACTCAAATGTTTATTTTACCATCATATTTGCAAAGTGAACATGGAAGAACCCCGTGAATTGCTTTGCTGAACAATACAATGCCTTAATATGACCTTCATTTGTCAATCTGGGGACTGTATCAACAGATGAAACAGGATCATCAAACATCAAAAGTGGTTGTCGGATGGACCCTCATGGCTACCGCATTTGAAGTATTCAAAACTCTACACTTAAGAACTGGAAAGGGGACAGACAGATGCACACCATGGCATAGCAAAACTGTTCTCCACTTGGCAGAATGCAAAAAGGAGGAAGGGGCTGGGTTCCACTCTTCCAGGGCACGACCCTGAGGACCAGCGTATTTCCCACTAGGCCCCACCTCTTGCTTCTGCTCCTTCCCAGACCTTGCAATGGGTCACAGATTTGGGAGATTTTAGTTCATGATTGGGCAGACCCATTGTTTTTATACACATGGGCTTATGGGATACTTAAGGTCAAACTACCATGCTTTGAAAAAATTCTTGAGAATTTCAAAATTTTCTAAGTTGATTATCTCAGGTATTTGTTAATAGTGATGGAAAACTGATTGATACACACTGGATTAAAATATTTTCACAACACAGCAAAATAAGGGAGGTAATATGAATATCTTTTAGGGTTGAGGAAACAGAGGCTCAGTGTCATCAAATCACTTGCCCAGTATTTTCTAAATTTTAGGCAGTGAGGTCAAGGCTAAACTTTCAACACTCTCTAGTGGTGTTGTCTCATGGTCAAAAGGGCAGGAAAAAGTATTTTTTTGATACTTAAACACTATCCATGTGCTCAATTAATTCGCCATTTACTGGAGAAGTTTACAACACTTAAAAGTTGAATAATTTTAGAAGTGCTCTAAATCTGAATTTAAACATCTTAATGGGTAAAAAACAGGAATAAATTTGCCATAAAGACAAATCTTAGTTTTTAATCCTCCTTTTTCTTTGCCAGGCTTCTGAAGAGGGAACAGAAGTTTTAATTAGCAGGAAGATGACCACAAAATGGATGAAAAGATGGAAAAGTGGAGAATAATTTATTAATGAGCATACTGTGTTGTAAATATTTGAAAGTCAGCTGTAAGAAAGAAGGTATTTCTTAAAAATTTGTTATTTAGGGCAAGAATTCCAAAATCAATTTTTTTGTCTTCTTCCTGCCTGATACCACTTTTAAAGCCAGGATTCTATAAAATGCGAGTGTAGCAGTAGGGGTGGCATAATACTGTCAACCCTGTTCTCATCTTTGTACTTGACCCTTGTCACTTACAATCCTGTCACATAATAAAAAGCCTCAACTTAATGCAATGCTTTCTCCTGGAAAATTAAAATTCTTCCTCCATGTCGTTTATTTCAAAACATTCCTCTGATAAGTGGGTATGTGGTGGGAAAAAAATCATTCTTTCCCTTTATGCTGCATAGCAAGTGTGTTAAAGAGTGCATCGGTGGAACTTGATGGTAATTCCGTTCAGGTCAAAGCTGTTGGCTGGGTTCATCTAGTCTTTCCAGTGGTTCAAATGCAACTCTGCTTATGGTTTTTTCATTCAGTAAATCAGCTGACAATCTTAAGAGTATAATATATGTTGAATTCTATGCTAGGCACTTGGGATATAGTCCAGAATAGGAGACAGAAAAAAAATCTCTGATCCCATGGAAGTTAAAATCTAGGAGACCCAACCACAAACACAGTTGCTCAGTAAATGGCGCAGTTATGTTAGATGACCTTCATTTCTTAATGAAAAAAAATCAGTGTAAGGGGAAAGTGTGTAAGGAGGATGCATGCATTTAGGTAAGACTGACAGAGCAGGCCTAATGAGAGAGAGAGATTGAATACCAAATTCAAGAAAGAAAAGGAGCAACATCTGCAGGAAGAGCATCCCAGCCTAAAGGCAGGAGGAACAGCCAATGCAAATAAGTGTCCTGAGGGGCCAGCACACTTGGACTGTCCAGGGGGACAATGTGGTTGGAACAGAGTAAGAAGCAGAGGAGCATGAATTGAGGTCAGAAATGGCAACAGACTTATCCTCCAGGGCCTTGTTTGCATTATAAAGACAACTTTCACTCTGAGTGACAGGGTGTCCCTGCAAGATTTTAAATAGAGAAGTGATCTGATTTAATTTTGAAATGATCATTCTGTCTGCTGCATGAGTAAGACAGATGGGAAGGGACACCAACAGAGAAGAGGGATGTAGGCCTTCTTCTTCTGGGATTAGACAAGTTTGGCTTGAAGGAGGGCGGGGGAGATGATGAGAAGTGACTCCACTGTGGTTATGTTTTTCAGGCAGAGCCAACAGGATTTTCTAATGGCAGCAGATGTGAATTGTCAGAAAAAAGTAAAATCTGTTTTTTGTTTTTTTAAAAAAATATTTTGGTACTGGGTATGGGACTCATGATCTTGCATTTGCCAGGAAGACCCTTGTGCAGCTGAGCCAAATCCCCAGCTCCCAAAATAAAATCTTTTGATCGATATAAAGTCATTTGGGTTTTGAGAGATCTAGTCTAATTCCCTCAGTTTATATTTGGAAAGTGTGTATCTTGGAAATGTTAAGGTGATGAACATAATTTTCCTCCAATACAGTGACATATATTATGAGTTAGCTAATGAAAATTAACAATAGTGGTAGCAACAATAGTGAAATATGTTATTGCTTGAATCTTCCTCTTAATTCTTACCCGCCTGGCAACAGTTACTAAACCATAAACCTTCCTTCATGCAGTTTCCTTTCTGGAGGAAAATGGACAAACATAGCAAGCTTGCCCAATTATTCTTTCCAAACTTATTAATCTAAATTACAGCAACCTCCCGGGAATAGACTGAGCAGAGGGGAAGAAAGGAGATAAAGGGGGGATAAGCAGCTTTCAGCTACATCAAGAATGTTGGAGGCACAGAAAATGAAAACAAAAGAGATTTTGCTGAGCAATGAGAAAATATGGGGAATTGAGGAAGAGTAGAGAAGGGTAAGACTAGGGCTTGGGTACAGTAGCCTGGGCCAATGAGCTCTGTGGCATTTAGTCAGTTAACATTTGTCCCGTTGAGTGACCCCTAACACGAGAAGGGAAATGGGGGAATCTTCTGGTTGACAACAGTGCTCCTGACCCAGAGTATGTTCCACTCTGCTTAGACAAAAGGGAGTGTGCTTCTCTCTCCCTGCGCTCTCCACACCTGGTCCAGCAGAATGAAAACTATCTGAGCTATTAACAACTTTCCAAACTTGTCCTTTAGTATAACCCTGGCAAAAAAAAAAAAAAAAAAAAAAAAAAAAAAAAAAAAAAAAAAAAAAGACTTTTCTCTTGCTTGTCCTCCTAACCCTAGAATTCCTGGCAGCAACTTGCCGAATAATTCGGAGATCCTTGGAACACACCCCAGACCCTCTGAACATCAGCTTAGAGGAGAGGCCAGGGCAACAATAAAGTTCTTGTGAACATCTCGAGTTAAAAGAATCGAGGCGTTCCTTTAATTTCACAGGTAGTAAGACCTTCACTTTGGTTTAGCAGCCTCCAAATTCTTTTCCATTTTTCCAATTCAGAAGCAGCTGAGAAAGCCTGAGGCAAACGGGGCGGGGGTGGTGGTGCGGAAAGACTCATTGAGTCTTCGCCTTTGCCTTTCTTTCAGTCCTAGGATGTCTCAATATCGCTCTGTTCTTTTAAGCACAGCAATCATCAATCATCTGCTTCCCTAGAACCGTCAGCGGAGTCGTCAGACACGTGATAAAACCTGCCAGCTGCAAAGGCCCCGTTTACTCATCCGCCCGTCCCTCGGTCCATCGGTCCATCTGTCCATCCACCCGCCCGCCCGCCCGCGCACTGCCAAGCCCGTCCTTCCTTTCCGGCTTACGCTGGGCACTCAGCCCCGGTCTCCGGGCTCTGATCTCCAGCGGGGCGGGCGGGCTGCGTGGGCCGTACCCGCGGGGGCGACGGAGCAGCGAGGCCGGGGAGGCCTGGGTCCCCGGGAGCCCGGCCCAGCCAGGCGCGAGCGAGCCGGCACCTTCGGACGCCCCTCCCACGTGACCGTCGCCGCCTACCTCCCCCGAGTGGCGCGCGCGGGCCGGCGGTGTCTACTCCGCGCGCGCCCGGCGGCCCCGTGCGCGGGAGGAGACGCGGAGGAGGCGGCCGGGGCGCGGGCGCGAGCGGCGGTGCCGGAGCCGCCTGTGCACGGGCGGCGGCGAGCGTGGCGGTGGCGGAGCCGCGAGGCGAGGGCAGGGGCGGCGCGGCATCCGCATCCGCCGAGTGTGATGAAGCTGCGCTGCTGCGCCGAGCCGCGCGCCGCCAGCTGACACCGCCCGCGCTCAGCCCGCCCGGGAGGGCGACGCCGCGGGTCGTGACCTTGGCCAGGAGGTAAATGGAGGAGGCGGGAGGGCCACGGGGGGCGGCGCCGTCCCGAGCCCTCCTGCCCGGCCCGCGCCGCCCCGCCTCTGCGCAGCTGGGCAGCCGCGCCTGGAGCCCCGCGCCGGGCAGGGCTCGGGCGCCTCGCGCTCGCCGCGCTGCGCGGTGCTGAACCTGCTGCGGGCTCCGAGCGCGCCGCTGCCATTGGCGCTGCCGGGCGAGCCGGTGAGCGGACCTGGGGCTGATGGCCCTGGCTCCTCGCCGGGCAGACTGCACGCTTCCGCAGTTAGGCTTCTGCCCGGGGCGAGTCAGGTAATTGCCCAAAGATTTGACCTCCCTCCCACCAGTTCTTGGTGTCTGGACCCCTTGCGATGCGTTCTTGCAAAGACTAGGCAAACTGCGCCCTGACCGACCGAGTGGGGTGAGAGGATTGGAGCCGGGGCTGGCGGCGGAGGCAGGTGAGAGTAGGCGAAGCGTACACCCAGGATCTGTGTGGGAGACCCCGGGGAATCAGGAGGAAACCCTCGCGCTGGAGAACAAGCCCGGAATGGGTGAGGCGCCTGCATGTGGGAAACGGACCCAAACCTGGGAGAAAGTGCCTGCCCTGGGTGCAGCTTTTCCACTGCGCTGGGGAAGCCTTGAACAGTGGAGGTGCAAGTATAGGGAGAGCAGATAAGTCTCAGTACGGTGGAATGGTAACAATGGTTGCTAGGGTGAGCATCTCCTACTTTGTAAACGGAGTATCGGAGAAAAGTCAACTAAAACCACAGCCAAATGACTGTATCGAATTGGAGAATTGTAATTTGTCACAATTCCCTGGGGCATTAGAGGTGTAAATTCATTTTAATATTTTTTTAAAATCTGTGTCCCCTGTTACTTTCTCCAGCCAGCCCCAGTTTGTAAACATGTTCCCAGTGGGGTGTGCGCTAGAAATATGAATCAGGGAAGTCATCCCTCTTACACCGGGCCAGGAGGATCTCACTGAAGTCTCTGTAACCCTTTGCAGGACAGACTGGTAATTCTTATATCAGAGAACTCATCAAGTTTTGGGTGACATGGCCCAGGGGAATAATTATGGGCAGACCAGCAATGGGGTGGCAGATGAATCCCCCAACATGCTGGTGTACAGAAAGGTAAGAATTTTCTCTTTTTTTTTTTTTTTTTTTTTTGGAAAATGAGAAACTTGTGGTGTTTAGGACCTTCTCATTCCCCCACAGAAGCGTATATCAACTTTGTGGCCTTGTGGATTCTCAAATCACCAATGATGACATCTATCCTTGAACATGATCTGAGATTGTCAGGTGACATGTGTAGAAACACATGATGTAAAGGAGGACTTCACGTTCCCTCCTGATCTTACATAGATTAATCACTGGGTATCCTATATATATTTTTTGTTCTGTGTGATTTAATAGTAACCATATAATCTGTAGAAGTTTTTCCTTAAACTCTTCTTGCACATTTAGGGTATAGTAGTTACATAAGTCTTATCGTATTTTAGAAATAAAAAATAGACCACTTTGCAGTTCTGTAGCCAGAGTGAATTTACATGTGTGAATATATGTGCACTAATGATTTGACTCCTAATTTCACAACTCTAGTTGTTGAGGGTTTTTTTTTTGTCTTAGCCTTAATCATTTTTTGCTTATATTATTTCTATGATTTCTCTTATTTTATTTACAGGTATTTATATTCTAGTATCATTTGCCTTTCAGAGAAGTCTTTGTATTACAGAGGCTTTGTTTTGGCTGCCACAAATAGATATGACAGCTTTCTGCGTGTAATAGCAATCCTATCAGAAGTGAATCTTAGCTCTTGAGCCATTGTAATTAAGATGCATTTGGATATTGCATGTGCTGCATAGTGGTTGCTTCAGTAACTTCATTTTCGTTATAATCAACAGTCTTATTAAAATTAAGGATGCAGTATTTTTATGTAACTTCCGCACCAGTTGTTTCTCTTGCATTTTATACTGGAATAACTTTAGCATATTATTTGGACTGTTTATTGAGCAAGATATTTCTTTTGTTAACACCAGCAGTGGTAGAAAGGAAATCATACCTGGAAACTACAAAAATTGTTAAAGGTTTTGATTACAGGGAGCACACTGACGAGTCCAAGATTAGCATCCATTTGTTTTTTCAGTAAGATCAGAGCTGATCATGGATAAAAACAAAAGGCTCTGTGCTATCTTGACTGAATGAAATCGGAAGTTTTTGTCTGTGGTCCAGAACCATTAAAGATAATGCTTAATATGTGTTGGAGGGAGGATAAGGTTATTGCTTCAATGAGAAGATGCTTGATATCTTGGCGTAATCCTAGGTATTTGCTTCTCCAGTCTTGTGGACAGCACTGTTTTGTGTACTTATGAATGCAGTTAGATATGGCTGGGACAACACAGTATGCTAGGAAAGAAAAATTAGGGGTTAGTTGACTTTGAATGAATGAATGAATAAATACCGAAAATAATCCACTGGAGCCTAAATGATTGCTACTGTATTCCTACAAGGACTGAAATAACTGGATACTTGTGTGTTCTACATAGATTTGGGACTGAGAACAAAACATTGTGGTGGCAGTTAGTTGCTTTTAAATAAGTCAAAATATTGTCTGTTGTTTGGTACAAAGCTGAATGCTGTAATGTACCAGATGTGAAATTTAAAATTCTGTCTTCTGGGTACATACAAGGAAGAGGTTTGGATTTTTGGGTGGAAAATAATAATAGTTGGCTATTTCTTAAAGTCAAACAATGTACAGTATTTGCTGTCTTTTTCCCTATAAAAAAATAGATGGATGAATTCATTCGACATGTAACGGTTATGTTAATTAGACATAAACATAAAATGACATCAGCTAACTTGTCTAATATAGTCAGTTGTCATGAGAACAAATAAAATGAGAAGGCAGGGATTTTAAAAAGATACCTGGGTGTCATGTTGTTAATGTTGACTTTATATGAGTTCAATCCCTGGTACCAAACAAAAAACAAAAATAAATAAATAAATGAATAAACGAGATGTATCATGTACATGTGCTGACTTCCCAAGACAACTGTACACCACGATAACATAAATATGTACTACTAATTTTGACTTTATAAATTGTTGTGTAACCTGACATTGCTGTTAGTTCTAGTTTTAAGTTAACAGGCTAGGATGATTTCATGGATAATTCAATACTTCATATTTTAAAGTACTATTGTTAGTGAAGCCTAGGACTGCTTGTGATATTCATTCTACCCTTTAGTGACTTCTTTGTTTAGGGTTAATGACAAATTTCCCTTATTTTTCAGGAAAAATTTCCCTGATAAAACTTTCTTGAAAAAATAATCAGATCAGTAAATTTTATAAACAATGCTCAATTGTGAATAATCCTTTTATTCTCTGTTGATATTCCTTTATAGTTTTAGAGCATACATTTTTTGCTTTTGTCTGTGATATAAGTAATAATTTGTAAATAAGTGGCAAATGATTTGTAAAGAAATGCAGTTTCTGTGGTTATCATTTACTGGTTATCAAATGAAACAGCCTATGCTTTTGTGTATACATGCCTCATGAATTTTATTTGACTAATGAACCCCTTGTATTTTGTATAGTTTTTCATTTTCGTATCCTCTTAATAGAGAACAAACTTATGTAAGTGGAGAAGGGTATAAGTTGAATGTGTATATTTGGATATTTCACCTGTTCCACCTTCATAAAAAGGTCTATATTGCAATGCTTATAAATCAAGAGGTCAAAGGCTTAGAAAACAACTTCAGTCTTAACAGTACATTGCTTCCTAAACCACAGAGAATAGAGAGAGAAATTCTGTTTTATCGGCTCATAGAAGTTGTCCATTTCTATTTCACTGCTAAAGCATAATTCTTGAAAGCTGCTCTGAGCTAGCAGCGTGCCTGGTATTGTCACCACTTCTCTCTTTGCCTTTCCCCTGGACCACAGCTTACTTACCTACCACTCAAGATTCTCATCCATTCTCAAGATATGCATGTGATGCTTTGGTTCTATCTTCATAGGCCATGAATGAGTCTTACAAACACTCCTGGGAGAGACAGAAGATAGTGAATGGTTACAAACTGGATTGTGTGAATGCCTTCTGTTTGTCCGATGTCTCTCTCCCAATCAGAATTAGCCTCACATAGTTTGTAGAGGTTTCTCCAAATAACGGAAAAACCCAGGGGTCTTTTTTTTTCCTGGAGACATCTCTAGTGATTGTGTAGCAGATAAAACTCATGGAGGCCAAGGAAGTACAGGCATAGTAAAGGCTTCAGGCTTGCCTCATGATCAGGACTGGTACCTGCAGGTCTGCTTCAGACACTGGAGAGTAGCTTTTGGCTTAGTATGAGGAGTCTCTGTAAAGTTCATCTGATGTCAGAGACACATTTTGAAAATCTCTGTGGATGAAATATTTGGCTTCCCAATTCTCTGAGTGATCGCACTGCCTTTTTTAGTGCTTATGTTGTTTTATGTATGAGGATGTCTGATTTAAAGGTGCATACCATTTTGAGACCTGAACATTTTTATTCCTGGGGATTTCTAGGTTTCCTTCAGACAGGTCCTTACTAGATGGAGCTAGAAGTAATTTCTTTGAGATTCAGCTAGCTCCCACTTGCGTTGGATCCAGACCAGCTTCTTGAAGTGTTTGGAGGTGACACGTCAGGATTGAGTTTCGTGTTCAGTTGATGAATCTTAAGCACTAGTCCCGG